TACGTTGCAATTAGTTTTAACCTATATATGTTGCAATTTATAATGTTGCAACATATGTTGCAACTAATTTTAGCTTACGTTGCAACATTTTGTAAATTTGAAATCAATTGCTGTACCATCTTTACTCTGCACTCACACCTCCTAAAGCTGCAGTAATCCTTTTAAATCTTCTATAATTTCCTATTTGGTTAACACCTCTTTTTTTGTAATTTTTCTTCAATTAAGGTTTGAAGCATGATCTTCAAAATGCATAAATATACTTTCTTTATTTTTGGATGTTTCCTTTTGCTTGACATTCATTTTGAGTGTTATCATATCAAGTTTATTCTCTTATTTAGACTTGAAGCAGTCTCATGCTATGTGTTCAGTTAAAATATTTAGGTCAGAGTGGTGACTTACATTCCCTTATAAGATGTCCATTTCTGTTGCAGTTAAATCATTTGATTTTGAGACAATTTTTTCTTTAATATCTAGACTCTTTACAAGCTGAGCTTCAGCACAAAAAAGAAAATAATTAAGAAAACAGTATGGTGAATTTTACAGGAATAACAGAAAGCAGATAATAATAAGTTAAGTAATTCTTGCTTTGTTTAAGAGTTTCTTCTCAAAGAAACTTTTTTGGGATTTTCCCATAGCTTCATTTTTAATGTTAATAACAATTTCAATAACTTTTGCTTTTATCATAGCCTGCTCTACTCTAGTTGTTATTATTTTTTAAACTGGTCTAATATATTTAGGCTGCAGTCCTTTAATGAATTTAATGAAATCCATTATTTTGTAGTATTCAGCTTTATTTTTAAGAGAATCCACTTTTTTCAAAGTTTCTTTATTCTTACTGTATATTGTATGATAGTTGCTCCTTTCTTCTACTTAGCATTTCTCAGCTTTTGATCCTATTATACTCTTTAATAGATGCTGCAGTATTCATTTATAAATAATGCTACGAACGATTTATGTCTCTTATTTAGTCTATTAATATCTTGAGATAGGTATTAGGTATGCGCTTCTTTTTTGAGATATGACTTCACAATTTTAAGTTGCTTTTATCCTCCACTTCATTTGCAGCACAAGCTTTCTGAAATGTCTTTAACTAAGCTACTAGATCCTATTCTTTTCTTATGAAAGTTGTGAAATCTACTAATCTTATCGATTATGACTGTCTTTCCTCTCTTAATTTCCTTAGTCATCTCTAAAAGCAATTCTATCATTGCTTTATCTTTACTTATTGCTATTTTTTTCTTTATTCTTATTATATGATGAAGCAGCAGAATATGCTTGGTTACTCTTCTCTTCAATATTAAGTATCTCAGAAGTATCATCATGAGGATTTTTAGATCTAAAGATAAAATCATGTGATATATCTTTTTTTGTTATTGTACAATACTTATTAGTAAGAGTTTGGATTTCTTTCTGGACTCCACTTCCTTCAACATTCTTTTTTTGTTTTTGCAATTTGAATTTCTTAGTATGATTATATTCATTTATTAGTTTTTCGCTTAATGTCTGAAGATACTGTTTCTCTTAATAGAAGAGACTATAGATTATCCCTTTTATGGCTATATTAAAACTTTCATGTTTGTTCACTACTTTAGCTTGACTAAAATAAGAAAGCGTTATTCCAGAATATCAAAATATCAATGCTTCACCTAATATCTATTGTATCATTTATTAAAAGTTTACATTCTTTGCCTCCTTCTCTTTACCTATAGGAAAACATTCTGTATAACTTAGGTCAGTATATTTTATAGAATAGTTAGTAGCAGAATGACCCCTAATCTGTTTTGCATACTCTTGTCAGCTTAATTCTGCTATCATAGTTATAATATATTAAATAAAGCTTTAGGATTAAATTGAGTTTGTAATTCTGAAATTGCTATTCTCTCTTCAGTTTCAGTTAGAAATCCTTGTGTTTTAATTATTTCTTTATATGTCTCTAGTATTTGATGTAGTTGTTTACACTTTTTTCTTATTTGGTATAGATATTTTAGGATCCTAAACTATACTAATAGAATTCACAAATGTAGTACGCACGTAATCAAAATTATATTGTATAGTATAACTCGGTTAATATTAATGCTAGAAAGATAAAATTACTACTATTAGATTCCTCTCAGTTAAATGAATCTAATGGTATAAATTCATTGAATTTGAATCACTGGTTATTGAAATAATATGGTATGTAGGATAAGTAAATTTGTAAAAATAAGCAACTTTTGGCAAAGTTTACATATAAACTCTATGCAAACTCAAATATGAGTTATATTAGTATAGTTCAGGTTCTGATATTTCTTTACTATTCTATACTCGTAATATTCTTGACAAATTGTGAGTTCTTCAATCTCTTTTTCTAGAATGTCTTCTTTAAGGACCTCTTCAATAGGTTTTGATGTAATTGTTTGTAGGATTTGTACTCATCTATCTATGAATAGAGTTGCTTTTTAGCTTATTTGATATTAGTCTTAGTTAAACATTTTATTCTCATTACTTGTAATAGTAGAACTTAATTGTATTCCATTCAACCTATACCAAAAACTATTACCCAAATGTGCAGATCAAGTGAACTGAAATTCTTAACCAGAGTGGATAAAGTTAGATTCAGCTCAACTCATTCAGTGAAAATTTTTGAAATGTATGCTTGAAATATATGACTTAGAATTGCGCTTTGAGAATGTTCTTTTACGAATTAAGTTTCTGAGTTGACTAGTATGAGGACTAAACAACTCACTAGTTTAACTGTAGATTCTGACTTAGGCTTATATACTCTTGCAAAGTCTTTAATTTTCTAACACTTTGAGATCGTTGAGACAAAGAAGATGCTAATAATAACTCATACTTAATGATTAAAACTCTTGAGATAGTTTCGCTAGAAAGACTTTAAAATTAGAATTTATTAGAGAAATTTACATTTTTTTTGATTTTAAAAGAGTTTATTAATTAATTGAAGTTTGACTGATCAAAGTCAAATCTGCTTGATCAAGAAGTTTCTTTATATGATAAATTTTAAAGACTATTTATATTTATTCTATAGCTAAAAATATGGCCAAAAATCATTATGCAATAACTGCATAATAATCACTTTATTTTTGTAATATTTTAAGATTCTATCTAATAATTACTACCTAATTATTATGTAATAATTTTTCTGTAATGTTCTTTATTGAATAATCCTCTTTTCCAAAGACATAATCTTTCCATCACTTTCTATCATTTGCATCATCCTTAAGTAATCGTTGCTTCATCATTATGTAATTTATAATTAAATAATTATTACTCAATTATTACTCAATCATTGTACAGCATTTTCCCAGCCTCATTATGTATTATATTATTTATTGCATATAATTGATTTTTATTATTATGTCACAACTTCATGTTGTGTAATTCTTTCAGGTTTTAATATATCTGAAATGATCAAGATTATTTTATTAATAATTGAATATAATAATTTTAGTGATCAATATATATTGATAATCTAATCACGTAAATATTGCTACAAAGAATTTGTAACTATTTTTTTAATTTAAATATTCTAATATACTGATATTTAAAAAACATATTTATAAATATTACCAGTATTTTTCTTAAATTCTTTATATGAATATTATCTGTTTTCTATAATTAACAAAATCAAATAGTTTTAATAATTGAACTGCATAACCTAGATATTTTTTCAATGCAATATCAGGTATATAGTATTAAGAGTTTTAAGTAGTCTGTTCTTTGATATCATTTATGAGAAGGAAATATAACAAAAGTTATTTATTCTTTAAAGCATTATTAATATAAAAGAATGAGGATATTGTTAGAAAAAAAAAGAAATTGTGAAAGAAATAATATATAAAATCATGTGATACAAACATAGGCTGACATTAAGAAAAACTAACCTAAAAGCTTCCTAAAAAATTCTGCTATCAGCAATCATCTTATTAATCATTTCCTAAAATAGATAGTATAATTTTTAACGAGAATAACTGATTTTTTGAATATAACCTGACATGTTTATTTAGAATAAAAAAAATGATTTTAAATGCTCTTTTGACTTTTTATATGTTATTTTATAAATAAATAATTTCTAAAAAATGGCATTTAAAATCTTCTTTAGAACTCTAATCAAACTTGCAAAGTAAGCAAAAATACAATATAAAATGCGATTTTAGAAGCTGTATACAGATTATATTTAAGTAAAATAAAAATTTTCGTTAAATTTAGGCTATCCATATTAGGAAATGACCGACAGCTCTTGGGTAAATTATATGCCGATCAAAAAATATTTCAACCAATAAAATCGCAAGAAATGAAATGTCCATTATGCTTTTTTTTAAAGGAAAATTTTCCAACAAAATTTTCACTAAAAAAAAATGTCAGATTGGTTAAATTTTTTTGGTTGGGCATTTCTCCCTAGTTTAGTTACAAATTGGATTCAAAATATATATTATAAAATAGTTTATTCAGCAGGAGCGAATATACCAAAACGTGGACAAGCAAAACACGCATTGCATCGCAAAAGAATTTACATTTTTGTCGTATTGGCCTATTTAATTTATACAGTTGTTGAAGTAATTCGTTCCATACCTCCAAGTTATTATAATATGCTTGGAGTTAATCAAGATTTTACTCCTAAAGAACTTAAATCTAATTTGAGAAAACTGTGAGAAAACTTTTCTTCGAATTTTTTATTTTATTTTCGTGATTTAATTAATAATTCTAATAAATTTTTTTTTTTTTTTTTTTTTTTGTAGTCAACTAATATTTCATCCCGATCGAAATTCAGGAAAGCAAGCAGAGTCGACTTTTATATTATTACGAGTTGCATATAACACACTAAGTGATCCCACAAAGCGATTTGCGTATGATAGGTAATAAATTCATTACCAATGAAAAAAATGGGGAAAAAGAAAAACTCTTAAAAAATCGATTTTATTAAAAATTCATATTTTTAGATTTGGACCGGACATAAATACTTGGAATAACTGTAGAACGATTCGAGATTACCTATCAATTGGAAGAAATTATTTTACAGGATTTTATTTAGGAACGGGACTTATTTTATTTATCATAAACATATTAGGAAAAGGACAATTTGGTAGATTTTGGAGATTTGTAGTATTTTTTGGTATGGCATGTATTGAGGCTTCATTAATTTTACATCCAAAACCTTCAACATTTTTAACGTATATAACGAGTAAATATGTGATCTTTGAAAAGATTACAATATTTCGACAACTTTTTATTACAATCTTTATTGCACTTTCACAAGTTGGACCTGTATTATTTCCTTCAGATAATACAGAAGATTTACGCCCAACTCTTCATAACCTTGAAATTTTAAGTAATGCTGCCAATGAAGATGTTAAAAATCAACTCAAATCAGGATTTTATCCTTTTCAAAATGATACAAATGCTCAAAATGACTTAAAAAGAAAAATGGAAAAATTGGTGGTGGATACTTATTTACGTCAGAACGATGCTGAATTTGTTCAAATGTATAGTCAAGTTCATCAACGTATCGTATCTAGTCGTAAAAAACACAAATGAATGTAACTGTCAAATATAAAGCTTTTAGTATATAATTTAATCAAATATTTTGTATCTTGCTCATGAAATATCATTTTATTAAAAGTTTGAATAATATTTTTAGTAATAAAATAAAGTTGAAGATAACAATATATCTCGTAAGTACACTTTTATAAATTTTCAATGATTTATTGTTCAAATTTTATTGATATTGTTAAAGTAGTGACAGGATTTTTTGATTTTAAATATTTGGATAAGGTTTCAATTGCGAAACGCTGGTTAAAATACCCGGCAGGGTCAAGAAAAACAAATAGTTTATCAGTGAATATTTGACCGATGATTTTTCCTAAACCTTTATGCACTGCAAATCACCGAAGTGACGTAATTCGCGTTTCACTTGAATAATTTTTTTTTTTGGTTTGTTTCCTTTTCAATAATGGAACAAAGTTATTATAATCGTAGACGTGCGTTTATAGAATCGCAAATAGTATTGATTGAACATGATTTTACGCCTTCGGAAAAATGGTTATCTAAAGCTCAAAATGCCAATGATAAAATTCCATTAACTATTATTGATTCAGTTTTAACAAAATGTATGTGTCATTAACATTTTAAAGAAAAGGTTTCAATCAACCTTCTGTATTAAAATACTTTCTTAAAAAAAAGTGAATATGAATAATAGAAAACAATATAAACAAACTTTTAATCGGCAATCCATTCGTCAAATTCTTGAGCAACTTCAATATCTCTGGGATCAAAAACGTAAAGATGCTTTAGAAGGACGTGTTAGAGTTGAAAGACAAGAAAATTTTGATGATTTAAAGTGAGATTATAATAAATACTTTATTTATGTAATGTAAATATCCTTAATTTTATCGATTTAACTATAGATGGATTGAATCATTTCCTGAGGAATGGCCGCAGAATTCAAATTGTGAACTTGATGATGAACAATTAGAAAGGTAAATAAACTAACTTTTCAGTATACTTTTGTGAAGTTATTAGATTGAATTTCTTTTCTATTTTGTTAGGTATACCCAATTACGTTCACGTGTCCACAAAATACAGGAAGAATATATTTCTATTAGAGAGAAATATAATCATTACGAGGTAATTCAACGCGTCATTTTATGTTAAATATATTAATTAATTTATACGAATCATTTGCTATTTTTTCAGTCTCTTCAAAGCCTTGTCGCTCCCTTAAATAAGTCATCAATCCAGCAAAATATAATCACAAAGAATGCTCCGGTAATTAATGAAATTAAAAAAATGAGGGTTCTTGGTAAGTTATATATTTATAAATTTATTTATTGATGTATTATAGTATTAACGAATATTTTTATCTTAGTATCTAAGCTGATGAGTACTTTGCAGAGGAGATCAGAATGTCTCAATAAAAAATAACCCAAAATTATTAGTTTTTCAATATAAAAAGAAATTATACATTCAAATCTGCTTGGTTGGTAACTTGTAAAATCTCAGAGTATGGTTTTAGAGCTGGTTCTACATAATCTTTCAAAAATTTATCAACTTGTTGTGGAGCACGACCAATAAAAGTTTTAGAGTCCAATAGAGATTCAAGCTGAAAAGAAAGAGGGATTTTTTTTTTTTTTTTCTTATTAACAAATATTTTCATCTCGTAAAAATATTAATCATTGATTTTATTACCTCATTCCAAATTGGCTTGAAATATTCTGTTTCCTTGATTCTTTCGATTAAATCATTTTCACCACCTTCTTTAACTTTACTTGCAGCTTGATGGCTTAAAACACGAATTTCTTCGTGGCATTGTTGACGATCACCTCCTTTTTTAACTATAGCCATAATAACATTTTCAGTGGCCATAAAAGGAAGTTCTTGTGCTATATGACGTTCAATAACCTTTGGATAGACAACGAAACCTTCGGAAACGTTTTGTAAAATAGATAATACTATATCTGTCGTTAAGAAGGCCTCTGGAAGAGAAATTCGACGATTCGCACTATAAAATTAAAATTTTGTTATCAAAATTATATATGTATAAATATTGAATGTATGAGAACGACAACATTTAAAACTTGCCTATCATCTAAAGTTCTCTCAAACCATTGTACACTATTTGTCATTAATGCATCTTGGGCAAGGATCATTAAATGTCTAGCCAGACTACAAATTCGTTCACAACGCATTGGATTTCTTTTATAAGCCATTGCAGAACTACCAATTTGATCCTTTTCAAACGGTTCTTCAATTTCTTTTAGATGTGCTAATAGTCTTATATCAGTGGCAATCTTATGAGCAGTTGCACCAAAAGAACTGATAGCATTTAAGATATCAACATCAATTTTACGAGAATAAGTTTGTCCGGTAACAGGATATGCTTCTTTAAAACCAGCAAGTTCTGTAACGCGTTTATCCAAAGCTTCTACCTAACCAAATATAATAATATAATTATTATAAGAAATTATTATGAAATCAGGATCTATTTTTAATTAAAGCTTACTTTTTCATGGTCACCTTCAAATAATGCCAAAAATGAGGCTTGCGTACCTGTGGTACCCTTAATACCACGAAATCCGATATCATTACGAGCACGAGTTAAATTACGAAGATCCCATAAAAGTTCCTATAACATCTTAATTTAATTAACAAACAAGAATATTTTTCATTGAAATAACCAAAAAATAAAATAATTAATTGAATTAATAAAGTAAATTACCGACCTGTATCCATAAAGTAGCTCTTTTTCCAACGGTGGTTAATTGAGCAGGTTGAAAATGAGTAAATCCCAACGTAGGCAAATTCTTATATTCATTGGCAAATTTGCTAAATCTAACAATAACTCTAGCTAATTTGTTTAATAATAAATCAAGTCCTTGTTTCAATATAATCAAATCTCCATTATCCGTAACATAACAACTTGTAGCTCCTAAATGGATAATTCCTGCGGATTTTGGAGCTACTAAACCAAATGCGTGAACATGTGCCATGACGTCGTGACGCCTTTTTTTCTCCTCTATTGCTGCAATCTCGAAATCTTTAGGTGTCAGATTCTATAAAATCATTTTAAATTATTTTCCGGTAATTTAATCGATTAATGTGATTCTTTCATTTTTTTTTTTTTTACCAGGTGTGCTTCCATTTCTTTAATAGCTTCATCGGTGATGCCAGCTAAACCAAATTCTTTTTCTGCTATAGCCAAGTTTAACCAAAGTTTTCTCCATGTGTAAAAACGTGTAGCTGGAGAAAATAATGCGGCCATTTCTGGCGAGGCATATCTTGAAGTTAAGGGACTTTCATATTTATCATAAGTAGTCATTGTGGAAATAAATAAAAAAAAAAAGAAAAATGTTTTCGAAAATTAAGATATTTTTGATGAGATTGATTAAAGTCGCAAATCACGTGAATATCATCTAAAACATGCGTTTTTATTATATACGTATTTTTTTTTTATAAAAAAGATAAATTATATATAATCAAGTGAAGCAATCATCTTGCATCACTCATCCATTTCTTTTGATATGTTAATGCATCTCCCATAGTTGCTTGTCTGTTTATTCTTTTATGTTCTTCTCTTGATACAATACGTTCGACTATTTCGCCTGATCCTCGGATTAATCTAATAACAATTGAAAAATTGTTAGAAGTTACACGAACAAACAAACTTTTTTTAAGATTTTACCTCACTCGACCATCCACGGGATCTATAACCTCTTTAATTACAGATCGTTCTGCTTCATATTCTTCTTGTGTTTGAGGTATCATAGAACGTCTTTTTGGCTTCTTTTCAATCTCTTCTTCCTCTTGTATTGTAATGCTCGAACTTTGTATAGGATCCTTCTTCATACGAAGTTTTTGTTGCCATTCTCTAATTTCTTGAAATAATCGAACTTCATCTTTATCCTTCTCTTCATGCTTCCTTTTTTTATGTTTTTTATGTTTCTTACGTTTCTTTTTACTTTTTGATTTATGATGATTATGATACCGTGTTGAATCCTTCGAAGAATGATCAGAAGAATTCGTAGAATTCGTAGTATCAGTACTACAATTAATTGAACCTTCTTTAGATAATGAGTAATGATGCTTTTTGTGTTTTTTATGTTTGCTCTTTGCTTTTGTTTTCTTTCTCTTTGGTGAACGAGATCGAGATTGTGAACGTGAATGAGAACGTGAAAAAGAATGTGTTCTTATTCTTTTTGTTCTATTAAAATTATTATCTCGCTCCCTTTCTTGTGAGTAATTTCTTTCTTTATTATGTCTTTCTTTGCTATGTTGAAAATGTGAACGCGAAGAAGACCGTATAGGTGATCTCGAACGGTGCATTTTGTAGTAAATTTAACAGACAAAAAAGTCATGAAATATAATATATATACATGATTGATAAATAGTCATCATTAACGTTTATGATTGGACAAACCAACAGACAAAATCATTTTAAAAAGTTATCGCCATTTTCACATTTTCATTAAAAAAAAATTATCTATAATGAATTCTTTAACAAAATTATTTCCACATTTAAAATTATCACGAGATTCATTATCTAAATATTTTCCTTCCAATAATTCAACGAATTTCATTAAATCAAATAAAATTTCTTCAATTTCTCAAAATAAAATTACAACGGATTATCCTCCTCGTCAAAATTCAACGAAACTTTCAAGTGGATTTTTTAAAATTACTTTACGACGTTCACCAATTGGTTTACCTTCAAAGCGTCGACTCGTTGTAAAAGCTCTTGGTTTACGTCGATTACAACAAACTGTTTATCATTCTCAAACACCTTATATCGCTGGTATGATACTTAAAGTAAAAGAAATTTTACAAGTAAGAAATGTTAAGAGAATTCCCGCTCCTGAAGAAAGAAAGAAACGTGCAGAAAATGGTTATGTTATCATTAAAAAACATAATCCTAACTTATAAGGATGAATCTATTATCTTTTTACTCTAACAGTTTATTTATTATATTACATAAAAAGTAAATAATATGACAAATAAATAATAGGGTTTCAATGCTTTTTATCATAAATTTTTGAATGAATTAAATAATTATATGGGTAATTCAAATGAAACATCTATCTTCGCTTCTCGCGCAAGTTGTACAATCTTTGACAATTGTACAGATTTAGATGCAGCATCATCAAGGTCATCAACCGAAATAATACGTAAACCTGACTCCGCGATAAGTTTCTTTGCTGCTTTAACTTCAGTACCTTGTAATCGAACAATGACCGGCAATGATAACGATAATTGCGTGGCTGCTTGAATTATACCTTGAGCAATAATATCACAACGCATGATACCTCCAAAGATATTTACTAAGATTGCTGTAACTTGCGGATCGGATGATATAATTTTGAATGCTTCGGTAACTTGTTCTGCCGTCGCCCCTCCACCAACATCCAAGAAATTGGCAGGTTCTCCTCCGTGAAGTTTAATTATATCCATGGTAGACATCGCCAAACCGGCTCCGTTTACTTAAATTCATTTAAATATGTTTATTAAAGAAAAGGTTAACCGAACTAAATTTTTATGACAAAATGAGTTACCTAAGCAACCGATTTGTCCATCCAATCCAATGTAATTCAAGTTATATTTGGCTGCTTGCACTTCACGCGAGTCTTCTTGTGATGAATCACGCAAGGCAAATATATCCTTTTGACGGAATTCTGCGTTATCATCGAAATTAAGTTTTGCATCCATACAAAGAACTAAAAATATTAAATTATATTAGAAATAAATCATTTTAACTTTATTTGATTATTGCAATTTGACTAAATATTTACCTTCGTGATCGGCAGATTCTGCCATAGGATTGATTTCAACTTGGGTACAGTCTTTATCGGTAAATAATTGATAAAGTTTCAGTATCATATCAGTTGCCTAAAATGAGGGAAGTTTTGATTTAGAAATTGTATTGTATTTGAAGTTAAAACCACATGATTTAAATTTGCATACGTCATCGATAACTCTCGGAGAAAATCCCAATTTTTCTATTACTTTCCTAGCATCCTCCTTTTTTAAACCCACATTGATATCAATTGGTAATGTTATAATAGCTTCGGGATTTTCCGCAGCCACACTTTCAATATCAACACCTCCTTGAGAAGAAGCAACAATGACAGGTCCTTGGGATTTTCTATCTTGTAGAATGGCAAAATAATATTCACGACGAACGAATTTACGTTCAACGATAAAAACCTAGAATACATAATATAAAGTCAAAAAAAAAAAACAAAAAAAAAATTATATAAGAGAGAATTATAATTCCTTTACCGCATTACAAATTTTTCCAGCTGCACCAGTTTGTTTTGTTATAAGGTTAGATCCAAGCATTTGCTCGGAAAACATTCTGGCTTCGGCAGCACTATAAATAAAGGTGGTAAACTTAAATATATAATGGTATGTGTCATATAAATTACATTAAAATAAACTTACGAAAAAATTGCTCTAACTCCTCCCTTCAGACCACTTGAAAAAATACCCTTCCCGCGACCACCTGCAAGTACTTGAGCTTTGATAACCGCGTCCTCAGTACCTAAATACGAATTTACAAATAACAATATTAGATTAAACTGATAATCAAACCTCTTTTAAATCAAACTTTTTTTAATGTCAATCCACCAAACGCGCAATTTAAAATATAAAAGGGAACTATAAGATTCACAAACCTAAATTTTGAGCAACCTCGTAAGCCTGTTGAGGAGTTCTAGCAACTCCACCTTTTGGAGTTTTTACACCATACTTATTCAAAAGTTCCATTGACAAATATTCGTGTATTGCAAGACCACGCTTTTGTTGCCCTTTGGTGAGCTAGTAGAAAAATACATTAAATTTTCAACGAATTTTTTCCTGTAAACATAAAGAAGTAATTGTGATACCATAGAAGCTCGGCTGGTAAAACTTTTAGTAAGATTCAATGAGCGAAACATTTTTATGAATAAATTCCGATAGAGAAAGGAAATCAATTGTTAGATTTAAGATTAAAGTAATCTGTGTCAATAAAATTACATATCATAATTTGCATATCAATATTTGATTATCTGTTTTTGCTAATTATCAATATACAAAAACGGTATGGATATTTTTCCTAATCGGTAATCTTTATGATGTAATAATAAGTACAACAAAGTATAATAATATATATATTAAATATGATATTATTTATTAAAATTCAAATATTTTATTTTTAATATCTAATTTCTAATTTTAATCTTCAAAATTCTTAATTTTTTAGTTTTAATCTTAAATTAATTTTAATCAATCTAATAATTATTATATACAAAGTTTTAATATAAATTATAAAAAGAAGTTTACTATTTATTATCACTGATAGTCAGCACCAGTATTAAATCAACCAATAGTAATTAATGTTTTTTATGATCAGTGATATTTTAAGAGAAAGTGAAACAAATATTTTTTATTTGTGAAAAAATTTCAAGTTTTTAAAATACATAATAAAAATAAAAATAGTGAGACATGACACAAGGATACAGGATGACAATGATCACTGAATTTTTTAGCATAACTATCAAAATACAAAATTATGTAATCTATTTTGCTAATTATATCTAAAAATAGTTGAATTAGTTTTCACAAAAATTTTGTTGTTTAAATAAAACTTAACTTCAACTATTGAAATTATTTCTTCTATAGAAATATTTACCTGTTCTACAAATTTGCTTAGGATCAAAAGAAAGGTTTTAAATGCTATTTTTTAAATTACATAATACAGTAAGACTTTTCTAAATGCATCCCCCTTGAGACCATAGTAAAAATTTGAAAAAATGTGCATTTAAGAAGGGTATGCATTTAAAAAGAGAAATTTTGTATGATCTTTATATACTTGGGGCTATGTGAAATATGCATTTATAGAAAAATATATATGCATACATTTAAAGAGGATGCATTTAGAGATTTCTTACTGTATATTTTATAAAAATTGAAAATTGTATTAAAATATCTACTTTCTTCCTAAATAAACTTATAAAAAAAATAAAAATAAATATAAAATATGATTTTAGAATCTGTGTAGTACTTTTATTAAGTCTTATTCAAAAAATAAAATCAATTTTTTTTTGATAAAAATTTATTACCTATTTTTGGAAATAATTGCAGCTAATAAGTGATTAGGGAGTGGAAAAACCAAAATTGATCACATAATTTTGTATTTTTTAATAATTATGCTAAGAAAATTAATGAATACTAGTAGTAATATATAGTAAATTTCTTATAAAAAATTTATAAGTTATTAATAATATAATTTTTAGCATTTCATACATAGTTTTTTAATACAAAATCAATATGATTATATATTTGAATTTTTAAACTTTAAATAATTATATATTATCAAATATTCAGATACTAATTTTTTAATTTATTGATTGTCTATTTTAAATAAAATAAAATATCTTTTACTAAATATATTTGATATATTTTTATAAACTTAATTATTTTAATTTGATATATCTATACTATATATGGGAGGTGGTCAGTAGAAAAGGGGGAAATCCAAAATTTTTGATAATTTTAATTATTAAGCTAATTTTATGCATATGACCAAGATCAGCCAAGTGGTCTAATAATATAAATTTGGACTAAAATTTGGATTTCCCCTTTTCTACTGACCGCCTTCTATATAGTATATTAATTGAAAAGTAATATTTCTAATATTATTAACTCATTTAGGCTTATAAAGAAGTTAAATATATAAATGTTATATAATTTTGGATTATTTAAATCTAAAAAAATCTCAACTTAATTTATTTATATTTCATATCTGTTAACACTTATTTTTATTTTTTATAAGATAATCAAATTAAAGTAAATGTAAAAAATATATATATTAATTATATCTGATAACTCATAATATCTGATTTAAAGATGATGCAGCAATTAATTTCAAATTTACAATATATTAAAATATAAGCTAAAATTAATTGCAACATATATAAGTCAAAACTAATTACAACATATGTTGCAATTAAAGATGAGAACTGTAATTAATATGTTGCAACTTTTAATATTGCAATTTATGTTGCAATTAGTTTTAACCTATATATGTTGCAACTTATAATGTTGCAACATACAGTGAACTCTTGATATAACGAATTCTAGGATCTGGATATCAACTTCGTTATAAGCTTATAACGAATTTTTTAAAGAATTTAATTGGCTAGTTCACTATAGTAAAAGTAATTTTAATATATTTGATTTAAAAATTCGCTATATCAAGGATCACTATATCAAGGTTTGACTGTATGTTACAAATAATTTTAGCTCATGTTGCAACAATTTGTAAATTTAAAATCAATTGCTGCACCATC